CTTTTCCTCGGTCTCAAGAATAATTAATGATGACACTGCTGATTCTTGAGACGGTTTAATGCGATGGTATCACGTTACGAGTGTGAATTGATGCTGTAGGTCTCGGAGAATTAATGTTTCAACTGTTCTAACTTAGCTGCTCGGAAAATGCTTGCGAAGAATAAAAAGCGAAGAGGAAAACATCGTTCGACACTGAAGATTAAGACTAATTTACCGTCTCCAAAATTGCCCTATAAACACCCTATCTCCGGTAATGTCTACATCGGCTGTTAACCTAATCTGGCGCGCGTTGAACTTGCACAAGCGCGGCGCGTACCGCAAGAGGATCGCAATAAAAAGAAAACCGTGTATAATATATAATAGGCTTATCTTCGTAATAACTTGTAGTTACTTCGACCACGATAGATCTTGCCGATAATTTCAAAGACAGCCGTGAGCCGATCGTTGTGTACACGTTCGCCTGTGATCCTCGGGAAGGGCAGGACTCTTCGGCTAATTTATTCATCGAACTTAGCCTTAGACGTTCGCGTTTCAAAGCATTCTTTCCTATAACGTTATCCTTCGATGCATCGATTTTCCTCGCGGATCTTGCATCTGCGATTCTAATCAACGTTCTATAAAATTGCGAAGGGTCGAAGTGCACGGAGGGTCTACCAGGATCGAACATGCAAATACCCTATGACGTAGTTGAATAGAGTGATTAGAGGCTCTATCTAGGCTCGCTATCTATGTTCTTCTTGGGTAATTATCTGTTTGGTACCGATCATGATGACTGAACGAAAAGTACCCATAATGGTAGACTTACATCGTTCTTAAGAGCAATTATTAAACAACCCTCGTACAGAGAGATGTTGTGAAAAAATATCAATCAATAAATTGTAATTAACGAGTCTACCAGCGAAATGGTACGTACCAATTTTAAGACTGATGAATGCTATGTAAAAAAATAATTTGAGGTCAAAAGTTACCCATGATGATTCGCAAAGGTATTGTTCATATTTTTTATAGAGAGTTTAATTTTGAAATGCAGAGCAGAAATTTTGGTCGATCGCAAGCAGACTGGTACATATTTCTCCAGGTTGTGTAACGCTTAATTACCTGGCTGACTCGCAGCTAGCTGCTGCCTTCGAGATAATATTCGTTCAGTGTTTCTTCCCGTTTTTTTTTTTTTTCTTCAACACACGGCTGACAAATGAAAGAACCTGGGTATCAATTTCCTAAGATGACGGCTCATTAAAAGTTATCGATCACCGGCTGCTAACATATTATTACATTTATTAGAGGTCATTATCCATATTAAATTTTCTTAATTACGTTTAACCGATCTAATAACGCTTTACGATGCCACGCTGCACTACGCCGATTTTTTTTCTTCTTTCTTTTCGAAACCGACCGAACGTTCGATCATGGGCGTTGGTTTGCATAAATTTGCACATGAACCAGGAACAATTATACATGGTACAAGTTAAAGCTGACAACGTATTGATCGTCGGCCATTTTTATCGCGAAACATTTGTAGTAATTAAATTAATTCCAGAGGGAGTCGTTCGGTCGCGGATTGCCTAACGAATGATTGATGAACGTTATATTCTCATTACCAGTCGCTACTGTGGGAATATATGTACGTATAATATACAGAATATAAGCTGGTACATATGTACGTTCCTTATATATCTCGAGCGCACTGGCATCATTAAGAACAGTTTACCCGGTCTTTCATTAGTCATCGCGAATTTAATACGTCGTTTGATTTCATCCACGAAGTTGTTCGATCACCTTCGTTTCGCTCTTTTTTCCATAGGAGATCGAAGTATCGTGTTCTGCAGGGGACAAATTATGTTAAAGAATTTTTTAAAATATTTATCTAGTTAAAATTCATAACTGCGGTGGATCATTTGTGAAGTCAAATGGTGCAAGTGTACTGGATTAATTAGAGAAAAAATGTTATATATTCAAATTACAAATTTTCACGTTTCTTTTTATTATCAACAGTGGTCGATCTTAAATTTTATTTGCAAAAATAGGTATTGTTTATATCGAAAGCGTTTCTCTGTCGAGTGTCAACATCGATTAGCCGGTTCCTTAATTAGAAGCATAGAATTGCAAAGACACCGATGTCTCGGTGCTTCGCGACGTGTATGGCATTACGATTTCATTGTCGTGGCCGAAACTACAGGCTAGACCCACGTCCCTGGTCATGAATAACAAATGCACGTAACGACGAGTTTCCTGAAAACGGGAACGCTGGCATGGGCGTGTCTCGCGTGACGAGTATCTCTTTTTGGATCGATTCACCGTTCCGTTTCGCAAGTTCCTCCTGTTTTAGACACGATTCGCGGTTACGAATGTCCAACTATTATCATAAACAAACTGCTTTTAACATTATAGACCACCGTTCAATTTGTACCTGCTGTCTGAGCCAGCTGTTGGGTTGTTTTGAAACTTTGTACTGTAATTTAACATCAAGGTAAAATGTAAGATATATAACGTTTGTAGGCTTTTAGAAAATAGGGTAGAGAATCAAGGTATCAGACAGCCCCCCATTACCGAATACAATATTAATTTTCATCATTTGTCAAATCCAGGCTATATAAATTAAAATGTAGTATTCTCTTCGTAACATCTGAAATTACAGATTTTTATTATTAATGTAGGGAAAAGATATAACAAATGCATAGAAATTCTGGTTCTTTATCGATATTCGACTAGTTTCCCTACCAAAGTGACTAAGGAATAGTTTTACAATTTATTTACTTATTCGACGGGCGGATACCCTTTACATAGGCGATAATGAACATTGTAAATCCTCCGAGAAGTAAAATTATGTGTGACATATTTAAACTTATAGATATGCATATTCATACGCGAGAAATTGCGGGAGTAGTGCTCGCATAGTTTTATGGTGGCGCTAGTGGTGCGTAGTAAACGGAGTAAAATAAGTATGCAGTGTGTTGCTATGTTCACTCCAGAGATCGCGTGCTATAGTCGCAATATATCAGTTTCCGTCTTGTGTTATTACATAATGTCCGGAAAAGTTTATAAAAGTGGTGCGTATATGGAGTGTTTTAGTTTGATCGTAGAGATTTGGAATAGGTCAATGTCGTGTTGCAAAGTGTTGGCTAGAGGGTGCCAGTTTTGAAGCAGAGGAATCGGAGGAACCGATGTTGGACTCTTTACTGTAAGTTGGTGTTTTTGAATGTGTAGTAACAAGCAAAGTCGCATTGTTTACGTGCTGTTCGCATTACCGTCGTTTCACACAGTTATCCGATACGATCGTCTCGAAGAAGTCGTTATTAGCTATGGTATCGTGTACCACGAACCGATACCGTTCGTTCGTTGTTGCCATGATTGTTGTATCGCGGGGGCGGTTGTTTTTCATCGTCGATATATGCTCGAGCATTCCCACGTTTCGTCAAGACATTACGTGGAAACAATCGGTCTCGGTGGTCGAAGCAACGCCGCGCCGCTGTAAATCTGATCTTCCGTCCGACTGTTTTGTAAATCCGATACCGGCACGACTCCTCGCGCGTCCACGTAGAATACAAAATGGCTGTTTTTCGTTGTCACTCGCGCGTACGACGGCTTCTTCTGGCTCGCCGAAACAGGTTGCATTGAAACGCCTGATAGCGGATCAGGATTATCCTTTTTAGTGTTTCGCGTCGCCTAGCTTTTCGTATTTGCTTTTTATCACAGGGTGAAAGACTAGTACGGCAGGCGTTAGTTGGATTAATGAATCGTTTTAATCCCTTGCCTTATAATCGAATCACGCAGGTGACAAAGACACAGGTGGACTTGAAAGACTTGAAAAATTAAAAATTTCTCTATTCTTATGTATGCGAATTGTACCGAGTTTTTATTTTTAACGATAACCTCATTTTATTTCACTTGAGTCTTGATCCGGAGGTTTATTAATCTGCAACATCAGGATCGCAATCAATACGAGTGAAAATTAGAATAAAATTCCTTACGTTTCGATGTTGTTCTCGCGTGTGCCACGGTCATAAATCTTCTCAAACGGATGGAAATATACAAGTAATTAAGCGCAAGCGGGCCAACACCGACTATGATCGTATAATTATCCGAATATTACAAAAATGTAAGGAAGACAAATTGACGTCTCGATGCATGTGAAATTACGTTCCTTTAAATTACTCTGCTAACCTCGCTCTTGAAATTTTATCTCGAAACAAAAGAAAAAAATTTTGAAATTCCATGAAAGCGTGTCGTGAAAATCTTTTGTTTGAGCTAGGCTTCGAGCTTGCCTCGGTTTACGGTACCGATGATGTAAACATAAACGTGAGGATTAGGATCAATCGCGAGACCGGAATGTTGTTATCGTTCGACCTTCCTGAAAGACACCATCGAATATATTGCCTCAGTATTTCGTCGACTCGCGTCGCGGTTGGGCTTACTCCCTTTATTTCGTGATTCGGGAAGGTGTAAAGTGCATTTTATTTCGTTTTCGTTGCATATATTAAACGATACGGATCGAGGAAGTGATACAGCGTTGATAATCGCACAGACAGTGGACAGACTCGGGTCATTCGGGTCTCGTGGGAACTCGTCGTGATTAGTCCATGTCAGTGGCAACGCTAGTTATGCTAATTGCCCTTGGGCTTGCTACCAGCATCGAGCACGGCTGCAGATAAGCCAGGTATGAAGCTGGTACGTTTGGCTATCGATTTATCGGCTGCACTCGTGGGCATTTCAGATCGGTTGTTCGATCGTATGGTCGCGATAGCTTCGATCGTAGGACCTGGGATCTTTCCAAATCATTTTTTAACGTTGCATGATCTTTAGAAAGGATTTAAACTATTTTAAAGAATTTTTATATTGGCTATTACACAATTTTATATAATGTTATAGGTAATAGTTTTAGAAATATTGTTAATTTGTATTTGAATGATACAAAATTTATTTAATTATGTGCCTAATGGCTGCTCGTTATATCGGGTAATAATTGTATTTGATTTTAACCATGATATTTGTTTATATTTCAGGCGTCAGGACCGCCGGTGCAGCTGGAACCAGTGGACCTGTCCGTGAAAACTCCTGTGGTGTTACAGGTGCCTCGGTATAGTCCAGCAGCTATAATTACTGCCGCCTCTAGAAAAATCCCTTCGCCTTCAACGACGCCCACGCCTCCTCCGTTCTCCATCTCCATCGGTGAGTGAACGAAATTTAATGATGCATGCATGTACTCGTCAATTACCTGACGAAAATTCGGATGTTAAAGTGTTAGCGTATCTCGTAATTGATCTAAAGCGAAACTTAATGAGTGGACAACGATACGATCTTCGTGTAGCAGGAGAGTTACGTTACGTTTACCAACTCCTAAAGAAGTTTCTACAAACATAGAAATCTCCTCTTACTTACGTATTAATATTCATCCATTTATTAACCGTTGGTATACGAAACCATAAGGCAATCAAGCGATTAAAAGCTCGTTAGACTGACGCGTAACGCGTAGGTAATTTGCGTTAAGACAACTAACTCGTCCCAGTAGGTTTCGAATTTATTCTTCGGCATCTCTGTTCGGTTAACACGTTAAATGCCAATTTCGTATAATTTGCTTACAGCACTGAAATTCAATTTTTGTTATTGATAAAATATTACAAAGAAATCATTAAGTTATCTTAGCGAGAGCCATTAGTGACTGCAATCAATTATAGTTGATAAAATCAAAAAATTTTACAAATACTACACTTTATTTTATTTCAATACTTTTTACTGATATTAAGATTCACGGTCAGTATTCAACGTGTTAACCATACTCTAAACTCCATAACCAGAAAGAGTTTGAATGAAAGAGAGGCATAAAACAGGAGCGTTCGTATAACAATTAGCCGAAGGAACAGGCAATTCGATTAACATACTGGACGTATCTCGAACGCGGTTCTCCACCACCGGCAGATCTTTTAGCGCAGTTAACGCCTGGTTGCAATAAATGCCGGTCGGTGAGGCGTGCTTAAAATTCCAACGTTCGCAACACCGTAGAATCTACATTACGAACCGAAGGCGAAGGAAACCGCCTATCGTCTATTCCCTGTCTCTAGGAGCGCGTGGTCGATTCACTCTAGTGTGCGTGCCAACCGTGTATACGCGTTGAATAGCGTGGCTCGAAAGTGGTCAAGCTCTCGCTTATGGGTAAACCGTGGAGATCTCCGGCGATTGCGTTGCTTTATGGGTTAATTATGTTGCATTTTTTCTGCATACCGTTCGCGGACGAGCCCACCGACTCTGGCCATTCTATGGAAAAGCGACGCGGCTTTTACGAACGAGCCAAGGCTACGGAGCCGATACACTGCGTCCTTGCGCAGCGCGAACGTAAACGATTAGCCGCGACGATCGATTTACCGGTAAATTGTTTTCTATCATTTCCTTTAACAGAGTTTCCCTTTCAGATGATCTTCCATTTCCTTACTGAAATTACGCGGATTAAAATAGTTAAAGTTACAGTATACACTCCGGTATTTCTTGATCCTTCCGTCGTTTCATAAGCGTGAAAAATTTGGAAAATCAATTCCCCACGCATCGCGCTATACTCGGTATCTAATTCATCCGAGTATATATCTCCAATTTCTCGCGGAAAATGAAATTACGTTTAGCTTCGTACGATATCTCATGGTTGAAGCGAAACACCGCCGGGTAAGAAGTCGTTGGTCCCTGAAACGATCCTAAGCGAGCTTAATGGCCGTTGAGAGAGGTACCAGTTTCATATAGGCGACGGCCAGGTAAAAAGTCGTTCCTCGCGTAAAGTGGCATGCAACGTGGGTACGCTTAAAGAGTTGGAACCGCGAAATTGCTCGGTCGGGGGCACGGGCCACGCCTCTTTTTTATTTACCTGAATCACAGCCGAGGGATAAAAGAAAGTAATCGAGGAAAAGGAAGAGGTGAAAGAGACAAGCGAGTAACGCGTGGTCCGCGCTCCTGGCTAACGTTTGGTCCCGCATTCACTTCCATTTCTGGATTAATGACCACGCACACCTGCGCAAAGCGGAGTCCGAATGCGATTGGGGTCGCAACCCGTAGTCCTTGCCCCGGGGCATCGTTGTCCTATAGTCAACGTTCTCGTCGCCGTGTTCGTCGCTCGGAAACGACGGGAATACTTTTCTCTTGCGAATTGCACTGCACTGATAGGGAATAGGCAATTTGTTCGACGCTATTGGACCATCTCTAAATATTAAAAACTTGCGTTGGATCGAATACGATAGCCAGGTGCGAAGGAGAAACTTCTCTTAAGGGTGAAAATGTTTCGACTCTCTCAATAATGGTGGGGTATTATCATATTTATTATGTTGGGTCAACAAAGGCCATGTCATCAGGGTTAACTGATATAATTACCTAATACACAAAATCAATACCAAGCTTATGTCTTAGTATTAGACTCCGCCCCTGCAAGAGAGGGTGAAACTTTTCAATGCTGTAGCACCGTTGATGCCTCCGAGGTTCTATTGTTTTATAACTGATATTGTTGATATATTTTAAGCCCAAACTCGAAGCCACGTATAACCAGCTCGTGTCCATAAATCGTTACTCGTTGGCTATCGGAAAATTCCAATCGTGCGTGGACACCATATACGCGTTTCGACTTGGTTCTCGTTGCACATTCAGCGGCTCGACCGCGTTCGGGATATCCGGAGGCCTGTTGACGCAACGAAAAATAAAAATTCTTGCACGAAATGTATTTCAAATATGTTCCTAAAGTGTCCCAACAAAGGTGGATTAAAATTACACGGGGCGATCAGGGTTACTATGATTTCTCTCTGACATTGTAAAACGCGACTCGATCCCTGCTGAATCTCACGGTCTATTTTGAATACCTTTCTAAACATGCCTCTTGACATTTCGAGCGCGAACAAGCAACTTTTTCAAAGCTAGAAAGAATCCGGAGCAGTGATGCGAAATTTCGAAAGAACGAGACGAATCGTGAGAAACTTGCGGATGATTTGACGAATAAAAATGGCAATTAAGAGCTTCTGTTTTCGATGATGGACGGTGATAAATCACGCGGTTGATCGCTTTATAAAACGAACAATCAAAGGTTTCTCATATGCGCAAGAGGTGTATCTTCTCTCGGTATAAACTTTTGACTCTTTATAAATGTTATCTTTAATGCCACGGCAGAGGTTCGTTGCACGAAAAACAGCAATTAAGGACGTCGAATTCTAAAAGAGGAATTTACACTGTTCTTCTCAATTTTTTTTTCTTTTTCTACGTTATGGTCGTGGAGTCATTAACAGTCGGCTTTCTAGCGGGTTACCTGGTAAGATCACGTAAAAGTTGACGATCATCGCGCATTAACGTTGCTTCGTTGTTACGCGTCGCGGCTTTCATCGGTGCCCCTTTGACTCCCTTTTCGAAACGTGTCTCGCGTTATAAAGGAAACTTGTCACGTGTTCGATCCACGGATACACCGATGTCCCACGGATCCCGAAACTGACGTCACTTGTTTGCGTACGTAAACGTCTGTCCACGTTGGGGCGTGCAATGATTCGGTAAAAGGGCCAACGTGCGAAAGTGATTCGCCGACTCGGTCGTACTCCTCGCATATAGAGTCGCGGTGAAATTAGAAATTTGCCGAAGGTCGTTGGTCATTTGCATTCCGTGCCGATCGCAATTAATATGGGACTCGGTTCTCGGTTACTCGATCATGGTCTGCTGCTGTTGTTTTTAAATTTGGAATGGCGAAGCCAAATCTCTGCTAAATTAACCCTTTGAGGATGGTATTATTAGTATTATTAATTTAAAATAAAAGAAGTAATAATTCCATCCTTCAAAACATGTATCATAAATTTTTTTTGTCTGCATTCATAGATGTGTTTTGTGTCAAGAATATAACACCACAAGTACAGAATTATAAATTAATATAACAATTATGTTTGGACACGTATGTACGTCGATCGTCCGTAAAGGGTTAACGTATAAATTACAGTTAAATTAAAAATTCACCCGCTTCTTTTGTTCGCGTTATTAACAGCCACGTCTATCGCAATTTCAAATCACAATAAACAATTCAAAGCTCGTCCCCATCTGCACACCAGGGGCAACGACAATTGCGTGATTCCACGGCAATGAATATTATTAGCGTAATTGCGAGGTGTAGTCGAGTGAGGCGGCTTTGTCGACTACCTCGGCGAATAATTAAACAAAGCACCTGTCGGAGCGAGCCTGGGGACAAAGCGTCTCGCCGTTCAATGCCGTTCGTCGTTCGAAATTATCACAGCCCGAGTGGATTTTGTTGTTCGAAAGCACAGATCGATATCTCGTGAAAGATTCCCGGAGAAAGTGGTCGGTTCGTGAGGCACGCCGTCAGAGCTTTTCGTATAATTCACATCCGGGAGAGGAATACCTGTGCAACGTGCTTCTTCTCCCTCTTCTCTCGTCTCTCTCTCTTTTTTTCCCTTGCTTTTAACGGAGAGAAGATGACGGATAGCGTTCCGTTTGTTGGGAGTCGGCCTGAACCGACGCTCCCAGAGTTTGATTGTCTTTGATTAATTACTCGTGTTGTTTCTCGGCCGGCGGAAGCCGACGGGTAGCAATCTAGATAATGCGTAACCGTATTAACGGTCCGGTATAATTTTTTTGTCTCTGAGAAGTGTGCTGCGCGACCAGCGATGCAAGGGACTCGTCAGACTTTTAACACACCCGCTGCGCCTTCTAATTATCAAAATAATCGTTATCGGTATCAGCCTCTCGTTGCGCGGCAATTGTTTGAACTGATAAGGGAATCGCGACAGTCTTTGCAGCGGATCAGAAATTAAACAGAGAGACGAAGCACGTGCAAGTTGCATAGTAGCAACATGGCATCGTGTGTTGCTCCAGCAAATAACCGCTTGTTATCATAACGCTTTCTTATCGTGCACGCTGGGACCGCTACTAGCATGTTCCGAGCATCGCGATATAAGTACCTTCGGCGAATGGTGAAACGATAATCGGTGACCGGTAACAGATTCGATGATAAGAGCTTGTAAACGTCACGGATAATCAGTTTGTCCGAATGTAGTCCTTAACGTGACAAGATTTATCACCGGCGTGAAACGAATATCAAACAGGAACAGATCCTTGTTTCGTGATTCGCAAAAATAATTATATATACCGGAATATCCGGTTCCACCGTGCAACATTTAAAATGTTTAGTTTCATTCAATAATTTCTATCAATTT